CATGACCCCGTCTGTCAGTGCGGGGACTTCTCTGGTGGGGCAGCTCGGGGTGGGGATGCGCACTGTCCTGGTGCCCCCACCCATCACGCCGTCTCCACCACTGCCCGGGGGAGCCGGGGAATCCTGGGACGTGGGGTCAGGCTGTCATCTTGGAGCCGGCTCGGCAGGGCCCTGGGACACTGAGAGGCCCCCAGCTCTGCCATTTCCCTGTCCATGCTAGACCCGCTCCACCTTGCCCTGCTCCCATGGGCCAGGGAGGACATGCACGGCCCGGGGCCAGGGTCGGATGGCGCCTGCCTGCCCAGGACCGCCGCAGACCGTGCGTGGATGGACGTGAGCGTAACGAGGCCCGTTTATTGGACCCGCCTTGTGCTGTCGCCTAGGCTCCCAGTCACCACGCACACCCTGAGCACTGAGCTTTTCAGAGACCGTAGTGCATCGTGGGAGAGGAAGCTGGCCTTCCCTTTGTGAGTTGGATGGACACCGAGCTAGGAAAACCGGACTCAGCCACGGTGCTCTCGGGCGCGTGCCTCCCTGCTGGCCGTCCTGCTGTGCCTGGAGACCACGGAGCTGCACCGGGGACGGTGGCCCAGGATCTCTGCCCTCCAGGCATGCCTGGTCTGGAAAACAGGGCTGCGAGGTTTGGGTTTAAACAGCAGAGCACGTGTGAGGTGCCCTCCACAGCCTTCCTGCAGTCCGCCAGCCCCTGAGCCTGGGAGGTCGTGGGACTGCAGGTAGCCTGGCTCCCCTGACTCCTGTGTTTGGAGACATGGGTGCGAGTGAGGCTTCGGGAAAGAGACTCCAGAGATGCTCCCGGACCGGGAGGCCGAAGTTCTGCTCTGCACTTTGCAAACAAGGGTATGCAGGCCGCTGCCAGGGCAGCCCCCGAAGCTTGGGGCGGGCTGGCGTTGGGGGAGCAGAGTGGGGACAGGAGAGCTGGCGTGGGGCTAGGGCTTCTCTTTCCGGGGCTCCGTGGCCGGCGTGGGGCCAGGGCTTCGCTTTCCAGGACATGATGAGCTGGGCCACGACGTAACATGGATGTCAGGTCGTGATCAGATGTCTGGAAACCCCGGATCCCAGGCGAGGTGACCCGTGTGCACGTTCCTGTCCAGGCCGCGCCCGCCGGGGTGTGTGGCACAGTGGCGGGGTCAGACCGGGTCACTGGTGGTCATTCGTCTCCTCCCGCCACGTGAGCAGCACAGTGGCAGGGGGGGGGGGGGGGGGGGGGGGCCTCGTTTGCGGGTGGGGCTGCAGTGGAGAGGGCGTGAGTATGCCCAGGAATCGGAGGTCGGAGACGGAGCGTGGCTCCGAGGACTCTTGCTCACGCGGGCTTGATCCCAGAGGGGCCTGTGTGACTCGGTCCGTCAGCCTGTGCAAGCCCATGCTCCAGTGTTGGTCCTGCGTGTGTGGCACTCCTGGGCACGCCGCCACCTCTAGCTTCTGTCTGAGATGGAATTAACAGTCTCTCTCCTGTAGCAGTGAAGGACGCTGGCCCTCCGTCCTCCTGCCAGGCCCCGTCAGCGCTGCAGCCCTGGCCCGGGACTCGAACTGTACAGTGGGCCGTGTGGAATCCAGCCACCTTAGCACCATGTGGCGGGCCAGCCCCACTCTACCCTGAAAGCGCGGTGAGGCGTCACTTCCGTCCTGCTCGCCCGTCTGACAGGCCGGCGGCCGGGGCTCAGTAGGTCCCAGCTCCGTCCCTGGGGCTCACCGTTTGTGGCCTCGCTCGCCATATGAAAGCCAGAACTCTGCGCCAGAGGTGGCCAAGGCTCTCAGCTGTCCCGCTCGCTGCCGAGGCCCCACAGAGATGTGGCCGGTCCGTGGTCACACAGCAGGCCAGCAGCCGGCGGGCACGGTGCGTGGATGGTCACGAGCCAGCCTGGTGGGCTCACTCCAGCTGCGCCCGGCCGTACCCGTGTCCCCAGACTCTCAGCATTACCCGTCTGGAGCCACACATTGAGGGGACCACACACACGGCCCTCCAGGAGAGGCCGAGCCCCAAGGGGCAGACGTTGCTGGCCTCTCCGAAGCCGAGACCGTGGAGTGATGTGTGGCCTCGTCGAGGTCCTGCCTCCTTACCGCTTGTTTCTGCGACGTGCCTGGGTGGGAACACAGAAAGTGCTGACAGGCCGTCCCTTGTGTCCGCGGTCGGCTTCGTCCATCGTGCGGTGACCGTCAGAGCAAGAGCACAGGGCAGCCCAGCGTCCCGCACGGCCTCTGCCGGGGACTGCCCGGTGGCCGCCCAGCAGGGCCCGGTTGCTTCCTTCTCAGGACGTTTGGGTCTGAGGGCACAGGCGAGTCCTCCACGTGTGGGTGGCACTTTGTGTTCACCCCCCACATGGCGGCAGCTTCGCACGCGTCCAGGTGGAGGGCCCAGAGTCCCGTGGTCGTCTTTAATGGGAGTATCTAACAGCCAGCGTCCGCTCACGTGTTGGGGTGCGATCAGGCTTCATCGCTCCAGTCTAATCACCCCCTCATGCAGACAGGGCCCTGGTCCTGGCTGGAGACTCCCCCACCCGTGGGTGGCCACGCGGCTGGGGAGATTGTGGCTTTCGGGTCACAGTGTCCTGGCTTGTGGGCACTCCCGAAATTTAGCCACTGCCTCGAAGCAGAGAAGAGACGTCTCTGGAATTGTCATGTCCCTGTCACGTTCGTGTCACGTTCACGTCATGTTGGTGTCACAGTCATGCCACATTCATGTCACGTTGGCGTCATGTTGGCATCGTGTCCGTGTGTCACATCAGTGAGTTTTGTTTGTGCCTAAGGGGGCAGGGCCGGGCGGTCTGAGTGCCAGGGACGGATGTGCTGCCGGGCTGAGAGGCTCCGGCGTCCCCACTGCCTGGAGGGGGCCTGGCTGGGGAATGCCAGCGCCCGCTAGGGACAGGAAGGCGGCCGGCTTGCGGCGAGGCTGAAGGGCAGGGTCTGGCTGCCCTGTGCGCGCCGTGGGCCATGGTCTCAGCAGTCCGCGGGCTCCTCACGTCCACGCCGAGGGAAATGCCCCATCCTGGCCAGGGGGCGGCCACGTCCGAGTCTGCCCCCAGGGCCTAGGCAGTCGAGGCCATAGAAGGCCATTTTATAGTCCCTGCTGAGCAGCCTGGACACGTCGCATCTACGGGGCTGGTGGGGTCTCTCCCTTCCATTCACGTCGGCTGTCGCAGGACAAGGAACTCGGGGACAGCCGTCGCAGATGGGTGTGTTGGAAGATGAGAGTGGGGTGCCAGTGGCCACTGCCACCCCCATGCAGTGGACTTCAGGGGTGGCGGGTCTGGCTGGCCCGTGGCTCAGCTCTGAGCCTGTCTGTGACCCTGAGGCATTCCCTGTCCTGACCGCCCGCCTCTGACCGTGTCTTCACCCACGGGTGCCTCTGTCACCTCGTCAGCTCACTTGTTCCCAGCAAAGCTGACGCCCGGGTTCCTTTAGAAGAACCGGGGTGCGGGCCGAGGCCGTGGGTTCTGAGGTGGCCTTGTGCGCTGCGTGCCCTGTGCTGATGGCGTGGGTAGGACGAGTGCCCAGGGCCCAGTGTCCTCTCAGCGCCAGGACAGCCAGACTCCCCGTGCAGGAACCAGGACCCGGGTGGCCGGGTGACCTGCTGCGTCTGGATCCCATGAGGCCATTGCCCCAGCTCGTCCTCTGCTGCGAGCCTTGGCTGGGCCGTCAGCCGCGATTCTCAGACCAGCCTGCAGGCTGTCCCCACCCGGCTAGCTTCGGGGGACACCACGTGCCTCCTGGTGTTTCCCTCATCTGCACGAGCCTCTGGCCTAGAGGGAGCCCTGCGCCCGTGGGGCCGCTGACTCGGGACAGCTGGGGCCTGCGCAAAGCTCTCCCGCCCTCGGTCAGGAAGGGCAGGTGTCTGTTTCCATGGGCACACCCTGAGGGGAGAGCTCCCGGGCAGGCTGTAGCCGTACCTGACGCTGTACTCTCACCCACAGTGCGCGGGGGAGGAGAACTGTGTGGACAGTCGCACCATCTACGTGGGCCACCGGGAGCCCCCGCCTGGCGCCGAGGCCTACATCCCGCAGAGACACCCGGACAACAGGATCGTGTCCTCCAAGGTACGTCTCCAGGCCGTGAGACCCCGCAGGGATCTGCATGCACACACGTAGAGGACACACCCACGGACACGCCCATGCACTGTCTCCAACCTTCCAGCCATAGAGCTCAGCCCCTTGGTCCCTGACCTGGCCTGGCCTGCCCCGGCCGCTCGGGCCATGCGAGCAGAGCACCCAGCTGATGAGTGTGGGGACACACAGGGCCTGCTCGGGCCACGGGGTGCGGGGTCTGTGGGAGCTGCATGTGCCCTCCCACGGCTTGGGACAATGGCTGAGACGGTGGCTGTCAGCCCTGGTACTTCCGTGGTCCTGCTTGGCCAGGCCCGGGCTGTCACTGCACTTTCCCGGACACTCCCGCTGACCTCTGTGGGCCGCCCATGGACTGGGGAGGTGCACTGGCCCCCTGTGCCCCCTCTGCCACAGCCCTGCCTCTCTGCTCCCCGCCTGAAACCGAGCGGGTCGCTGACAGTAGCCCAGGCTGGGGGTGGCGAGGTGGGGCTGTGTGGGCGGTAGGCCCAGGAGTGCTATCAGAGGTGACCGCTCCTGGTCAGGACCTTCACTCCGGGTGCTCCAGTGGGGACAGCATGCGCTCAGCAGCCAGAACTCGAGGAGCCTGGTGGCTCTGCCGCTGCACAGCTGGGCTGGGTGGAGGGCTGGGTGCGGGTCACCTTCACCTCAGGAGTCGGCCGAGCTCTCTGCATGCCCCACTGGAGGGCCTCACTTACACCTGATCTCGCTTCCGGGGAACGTGTGGAGTTGCAGGGAGGGTGGCAGACTCACGTGGGGACCGCCTCAGGAAGGGCGAGGTCCTGGGGTGGCGCTGGCGTTGGTGAGCGGAGTGCAGAAGGGCTGACGGTACCAGCGTCTCCCGTGCCTCGACGGCTGTTGCCAGGGGC